AGTGAGCGAACGATGAAAAGAAGGAGACAGACAATGTGGCTGTCCGCCACAGGTGTCGTAGTAGTAGCGTAAATTAAAACTTAAGTGTTAACACTAAAAACTAATAGTGACCGTACGCAAGAAAAGCCACAGATCCATAATGTATCAAAAGAACCTCAATCCACCATCATATGAAATAAGAGAACAAAGGTTTACTATATCGAAATAAGTAGGTAGTATGCATAGTTAACTACGGAGTGTTCCTTACATGGAATCGTTGCCAAAAAGCTCTACTCAGATAAGCATGGTGTGTCCAAATCTGTCGGCAGTCGTATTTTACTAGACCAATTCGCTGCATTCACAGGTGATGCATAGATGTAGGAAGTGAAATGCAACCTAAAGTATCCCTCTCCTCTGACGAAAAAGCACACGATAGGGATAATTGACGTATGGGTAGATACTGATGCGGAGCCTCGGTTAACCATAAGAAATCTCGAAGCTAAAACGACAGCACAACATGACCAACAATAGCACCACACAAGGATGCTTTATTTTGGAAACTTTTTACATCTTTTTGAGACCCCGGAAACCTGACACCAACCCATTTTCCCGCGGATCACCGTTCGAACGGTAGACTTAAGTCTTTGCAAGTTTACGGAGCGGGTTGATGTTGAGACAAGAGAATAATTACCAATACAAGCGAACATGCGAATCCCAGGAAATAATTGAGAAAAGGACGACTCAGTCGCTGGGAACAAACTTTTATTCGCCGAATAAAAGTATTGTCCCGGCGATCGAGCAGTCTTCTTCAAAAGAGGATAATGCTTTGACTGTCCTCCATACGTATACGTTACCTATGATCCAGTGGTGTCCACAACGACCTTCATTCTTATTCTTTAGCCAATACTCAAATTCTATTGTGGTAGCAGCACGGTCGAAGTTGCTGAGTGAACCATACAGATGAGGAAACACGTAGTAATGGCTAGTGGTCGATATCGCTTTGAGAAATACAATTTTGGGACTCGTTGATTAATTCTAACTGGTCGCTAAAGGAACTGAAAAGTCTCGCTTTGCCCTGGGGCTCATTCTCGAACCCTGCCAGCAGCCGCACGGCGACGAAAATCTGCATGCGTCAATGCTCTAGAACACAGGAATAACTTCTGCCGGACATATTTTGACAAAAAGTCAGTTGCCCATAAACCATCTCTTAATCGCGGATAAGTTCCTACAAAGAAAGCTATGCTGAGGTTAAATTACAAAATTAAATATTTTTTCTAGGATGTATTTTCGTGCAAGTAACAGTAGAGGCTACCACTCTCTTCACAATCTCCGAACGGAACCTGTGGACACATAACTGAAGCGAATAAAGCTCCTGTCATGTGCGAGTAAACAAATACTTGGCTATCGAAAAGAGGATGAGTCAAAACAGCAGTATGGAGTACAGGCTGTCACAGTAGCCCTCTCCCAGACCAGAGGGCGGCGCAAAACGACACCGGAGAATATGCTGAAGTCTAGAAAAAATGTGAGACTACACGATCAGGGAAGTGAACCTGACGTCCACTGCGAGTGGTGTAAACAGGAAGAACAGTTGAGAGGGAGCTGAGTGGTTGCTAGGGTTTTGGAGGGTTGGGGAACTGTAGGGAGGGGAAGTATACGGGAAGATGGGAGTTCGGCGATGGAAAGGGAAGAAGCACCGGATGGAGGAACATGTGGTGGGGAATCAGCATGAGCTTGTCTCAGGGGCAGGTTCGGTGGTTCCTCCATGACCCAGTCCGCCTTGACCCAGTCGATGCTGACCGCGTCCTCTTTGTCTCCACGAACGATCCGGCAGGTCTTGTCATTGCGGGAGACAACACGGAACGGTCCTTCCTACGGCGGCTCCAGGGGTTTCCGCATCCGGTCGCAGCGCATACTCTCATCTACAGAGAGGAGTGAGGTGATTTTTGTTTGCAGCCTATAGGAGGTCATACTTAAGCATTCGCTTGTTCCGGAAGACAAATTAAAGTAAGCACATATTTTCAGTCCATGTGGTTGAACGTACTAACACAGGGCCTGTTCGTACTCCAACATTTAGGCTTGAAAACCATTTTCATCGACGCAAATGCAATACTATAGCATGGGTGCTCTTTAAACTATTCGACATACTTGAAAATTTCGGCAAGAATAGAAGACAGCTTAGAGCAGTATCGAAGACTCCATGCATACTTTAAGGTTTAGTAGAAGTTGAGCCTTCACCTTAACCGCTAGTTATGATATAAAGCTTTGATAAATCCACAACGCTTGTTCTAGATGCTCTACAATTACCACGTATGGGTGACAGCGTGTGTAATTGGATAATAGATGTCAGTATTACACTTTAGTAGGCACGTTTATTGTGCAATCAGAATCGCGAGCCAGTACACATAAAGCACATTTATTAAGCCCGTGGATATTTTCCCTTTACCTGGCGCAGCGATGGCCGTAGCCGTGGCGGTGGTCTTGCTACTGGTGGTCCCTTGTCTCTGTCGCGTATGCACTGTTCGACAAAGTTGCCTTACTTTCGACCTTAGAGAGAAATTCGTATGGTGAATGAGCCATGAGGGGGAATGACACTTAGGATGCAAGCTACCTCATCCGACGTCACCCAAAGATGACAGCTGGTTCACAGCCTCTCGTCCAAGTAGCTGACGGAAAAACAGACGCAGGTGCTTAGGCCTAAGGCCTCGTTCAACACAGTTGAGACCAAATCTGCCAACGTGTTTACTGCATTAGAGTCAATTCTCAGTCAAACGCAAGCAATGGACGAAGCGAATAACAGCACCAAGTCTCATTTTTCGTCATGGTTCATAGACCACGTGACGTTATCTACGAGGCCGAGCGTTAGGCGCTTAGGGAACTCAGGGCTGAAATCGACTTCATTATCGTTCCTACGGCCAAGGGGCGCTCCACGGTCGTATTGGATAGGAAAGCCTACATTTGCAAAGCTAAATCTTTTTTAGAGTATCGTCAGTCCTATGTCCTATGTGAATCCAATCCCAGAAAACACTGACACGCGAAATCTACACGACACTGTTGGCGGTGGAGAACTCAGGTGCAATATTACCGATTAATCGACACATGGCGAAAGCCCAAGAAACGGCCATGGCCTGCTTCTATGATCTCCCTAAAGTTCAGAAGGCGGATGCTTCTCTCTGGCCAATCTTATCTCTCAGAGTAACTCCAGCCTACGGACTAAGAGAGTAGCTGTTTCTGCGACTCAAATTCTTGATAGCCAATTTGGAGACCATAGTCAGGTCGTCAACCCAAATGTTGTAGAAACTTTAAGGGTATCTTTTGATGTCATGACTTTTTTACTTCTATTTTACCGGACCTGGCAGTCGAGAACATGACTCATACGAGGCAAGTATGACGAAACGGAGAATCGCCTAGGACACGCCCAAATCCTCCAACTCCTGAGGTTCTGCCTCAAGACGTAGTTTTCGTTAAACGAAACAGTGTACCAGCAGGTGAAGTGTGCGTCCATGAGTTCGCCAATTTCCGGACTCATAGCCCGGGCGGTCTTGCAACTGTTAGAGTCGCTGGTTTTCCGAAACCACAGATCAAACTTCTGGGCTCACTATGTGGATGACGCCTTTGTAGTAGTCGAGAGGAATCAGGTGCTGATAACCAAGGACAGATTGAACGCCGTCTCGCCGGACATTAAATTTACGATGGAGGATAAAGAAAACAACCAGCTAACCTTTCTGAATGTCCTCCTCTGCTGTGAAGACTGTGGTGTCCTAAAAACTAAATTGTCCAGGAAAGCGACCAATACTACGCAAGTACTGAATTTCATCAGTTATCATCCGATCAGTCACAAACGCATTTGCGTAAAAGCGCTATACCGGTGCGTTGAGTTACTGAATTACGATACCTTAAACGGCTACAGAGAGCAAATGGTTCTTCGCGCAACTTTGACAACCGGTGCATAAACAAACGAGTCAAGAGACCAAATCCAACAGGCCAAAACGTTTGGAGAGGGCTTGCCTTCGTGAAGAATGTATAAGAAGCGGTCAGTCACCTGTTCACTCTACTTGGAGTTGGAGCTGCACACAGGCTGGAAGAAACCATCAGGCACCGGGTCATGAGACCGAGAGACCCACTGCCACGGCAGGAAACGGCTTGAATCGTTTACCGGATCTGATGCAGTTTTTAATCAAGCAAATACGTTGCGGAAACCGGGGTTACTCCGGACGCGAATGGCCGAGCACGCAGCAGCGGGGAGGAGAAGGAAATATGTCAGCTCCCAGGTTGCAGCTCACTCGATCGGACCTAGCCATATTATAAAAAAATTAAGGAGACCGAAATCCTCGCAATATGTGACCACCGCGTGAGCCGCGAACTGCTTGAATCACGCATCTCAGGCCAATCAACAAACGCAGTGAGTTGCCGATCCTATACTCCATGTTGAGAATTTGTCTGAGTAAGGGAATCAATCACGTGGTGAGGAGCGGTGCAGCAACAATTCCAATGACAGTGAACCTAACTATCGCATAATCATCAAGCCTACACCCAACACAGAGAATGAAATTGCGGGAATTAATGACTCGGAATGGGACTGCCAAACCACCATCGAACCGATCACGACCCCAAATGATGATCAAGGGAACTGTTAATTGTAGTATGCATATGATCAGGTGGCCGCTACAGACTATAAATACTGCGTAACCTGCGCATTTATCCTCCATTCCGCGGTTATCTCTGTTGATGGGTTCAAGCCAGAATACGCAACGTCAAGCCACAGCCGAAACTTTGGCAATCCGTTTAACAAAACCCTCCCTCTGCTGTCAAAAGACGCTGGTAGCCGCATTCTGCCTACTCTGGCCAACCAGACGAGTGAATACCGTGCCGCCAGAACAGATGTCGCCCGACCGTGAGAACACCTCTCCCCCATCTCTCCTGCTCGCTGAACCCAACATCCTCAACTGGCCGGCCCCCGCACGCATGAGACTAGAGGACAATACGATGGCTAAATACCCCACCCCCCCATCCTACCCCGAGAACCATTTAAGCACTACACATAACTGACCATTTTTGTCCCTGCGACTGTATTGACCTGACGAAGAATTGCTGAAAACACATGTTTGTCAAGATGACTTTTGAATAAACTTCGACTTTCCATGATGCCATAGTCTACTTCTGAACTGCTTCCTGGAACTCGGCTGTTTGCTTATACCAGTGCAGTTGATGTTGACACATTTCCTTAACTGTCAGTTTAGGAAGTAGCGGTTTACAGATGCGCAGCGGGTATCTTCGGCACGCCACGAATACTCAAATTGTAAACGGTTATGACAACCCATTTAATTGAATAATACACGCCATATCCCGCTTGAGTAGGCACGCTTACAGGGAAAATGACCAGCGAGTATCTATGAAAACATATGGATTGAGGATTGTTTACTGCAGCACATGGAAACTTGTGCTGCGAAGGCTTCAAACTTAACGAGCATTGCAAAAGGAAGGAAGAGGAGGCAGCATTGGTCCATCAGAAAAACCGAAGCACCGGAGGTTGACTGGACTGCACCTGTGTTGCTACCACCGTTTTTATGTTATATCCGCCGCTTGCGTTCATATCGCACACCGCAAGCCCTAATCTGACTATTTATAGATGCCTACATTCTCTCCCTCATTCTTTACTGCTCTCCAGTTATTTTTCCAGCTTTACTTAAAAAGACTTGGTCATTTTTAGACGTATCTTCCGAATGCTCTCTTCAGCTGGCGGTGTTTCCTGCTTTTTTTCAGCTGATACAGCGACACGTTAAGACGATCATGCAATATGCTGATCGCATCCTTAGTGAGGGCGCTCACCCTCTCCACTCTGAACTAATGGCTGCGAAGTCTTCCCGTACTGTGCTCCGATGCTTTCGTCATATGTCTTGCCGTACATCAGCATATAAACACTATGTACTCTCATTCTCCTAGCACGCTACCTCACGTGTGAAGAAGCGAAAATGGAGAAGTTGAAAACCGACCTGTCTCCGTAACAGATGTGGATATCATGCAAACCTTTAACTATGGATATTCTGCGACCTTTGATCTTTTACTATGACCCCTTACCTTGCCCTATCCCTGCTCTCCGTGAATGGAGCCATTTTGTTGTTGAAAATTTTAGATATTACCTTCAAAATACAGCTCTCTTTCTCTCTTCATCGGGGTGGCTACCACCGTCTCCACCTTGATGACTATCACCGTCCCCACCTTGATGACTATCGCCGTCTTCATCCGGTTGGCTGACACCGTCTCCACCTTGATGACTAGCACCGACTTCATCTGGGTGGCTCAACGTCGTCCCTCGAGTGTCAACCACCATCGTCTCGTGTGTGACAAGCCTCGTCGCCACCCAAGCATCTACCGCCGTCTCCACTTGTGTCGCTACCATCGTCTACATCTGTGCAACCAAGACAAGCTTTTAGGGCTCTGGCATTGCTGGCGGCAAGACAACGCGCTTAAGGTTCATCCCAAGAGCATGTGCAATTGCTGACAGACAAATTAATTAAAATGGCATATTGATGAAGACCATTGCGACGGTAAAACGTGTGCTAAGGCAGAATTAGCTAATCGCGACGGCCTACAGGTGTGAGACTAAAGAAGAAAAAAACGATTTGCAGGCGATTGAGTTCGGTGCAGGCAATTTCTGACGATGGCCTTAATAAAATTGGCCACTGTTTTCGTCTGCACGAGTTTGGACTTGAAACGCAGGTTCCCACTGAGTGCCTTAAACACCGCGGGATATTTGGACTGTTTCAATCATGCAAAATGCCTCCTCAGAGAGTTCAGAAGGAAAAGAAGTTTTAGTGTGCACTTTTATGAAGAGAGCCAGTGAGTGTCGATCTGTTAGAGAGAGGTTCAATCCAATAGGCAATGCGTACCAATGCCTTTCCCCACTGATCGTCATTGTAGTTGACTATAACGAGCTGAAATATCTCGTGTACTTTGTCCTACAGTGCCACGCATTACTCAAACAGGCCAGTTGGATAATCGACGGCTACATTTAACAGTAATTAGATTCTGCCTCGAGGAATATATGCCATCAGCTCACGAGGACAGCCAAAGCGAATGCACTCCTTCACGCACTGGAGTGCAGTAACAACTATATCAAGTTTTCATTATTATGAACTTGGCCTGGTGTTTCGAACCATTTTGGGATTACAGTTATACAAACGTGAGGTGTGTTAATTGATTAAATGTGCCTAGATTAGTAAAGACTGTTTATATGCTGAAAATTGTGGCAGACAGCCAACAACGCTGTTCCCCACCTGATGGCCGACCGGTTAACCGACAGTCGCTCTGCCAAAGCTCGGCGGTCCTCCAGGCTTGACCTCACAGTTGCTTCAGTGTCCCCTTTTCCGGCATTCTGACTCCGAGACAGTCCCGCTGACTAACAGGCGTTCCGCCGAAGCACAGCAGCCCCCCCAACAGCTGATATCAGCTTATATTGTATT